TGGTTCTTATGGGAGATATCCTCTGTCGAAGGACATTTGTACGATGATTCGCAAAAACTAACTGTTTATGTTAAATAACTCAAAATTACCGTAAAAGCGAGCGTTTAATCGAAACAAGTCATACATCATATGGGAACGCTGACAGGCAGTTTGGATTGAAACCGGACCCAGAGCTGTAAAATTGGGGCTTAGTGACTGCAGTTTAAATTTCAAGAATACGTTGTTGGAAAAATAAATTGTTTATGCAATGGAAGTCTTCATTAAAACTGAACAATGGATATCTCGAGAAAAACCATTTCAGTCGAAGTAATAGCAGCGCTGGAATATAGCCTCGGGTGAGAGTCGGGAAAATCGAACGTACTGGCGTGATGCGGTAATTGGACAGTGTCCTGATACAGAGAAATTAAGAAGATGCACGAACGCCACTGTTTACGACACCCAAACATACCACTCAGTGTCTCTAACCATCGGACACGACCATCCAGAGAGCCTAACGGAACCTATATGACCCAGACACCTGGTTAGGGTTTTCATACCGTCATTCCAGGTCTTAGCCTGACCACCCTGGGCTTTATTCCACCCACTATCTGTCTCGGCAACCATCGCTCCCCGTGGCAACCTATTTGGTGACATGCGTAACACGCCCCAACAAACGTAATCTATGGAGGTCGACCACTTGCTCGGTTGTGGTGCACTGGCAAATTTTCCAAACCCTACTAGTTAGTACATAAGAGTAATGGTTCTTACATGTGCTTTATTCAACAAAAGACTATGTGACCCTGACACACGTCGTGTGACCCCATCGGTACTTGCGTGATGCTCCCATCATACACGGGGAGCATTACACAGATAACGGTTATCAAAATAGACAGTCGTCATTCTTGTTCTAGGCAAGGCCGTGTTTTGTTTCAACCTTGCAACAATTGACTTGATATTTATGTCTTCGTAGTAATGCTACCGTGTCTGCAATTAGTGAGGGTAATGATTCTGTTCAATAGGTAACATTTAAAAATATGAAAACTGGTCCAGTTGAAAGCAGAGACGTAAATGAATAAGTTTCTCTATCACAGTGTTGCTGTTTCAGTGCTTTTTAAATATTCTTCATTGCTAATGTCGGTGTCAATTTTCATTACAGCCACAACCACTCTGGATTGTCCTGTCTGGATGTTTGTGCGTTCAGTGGTGCGGCAGATAGATTGCCCGGTGGTAAAATCTAGTGTTTGCAATCCCTCTGTCTCTGACTGGATTTGATGAATCTAGACGGATAATGGTGTTATATTCCGAAGAGGCG